TGCCATCTTGTTAACATCACACCAGAGCTCTTGGAGATTGAAATAACTCATGTTCAGAGAAGGAAACATCCAAGATGCTGCCTGTCCTGTCAGTGCCTGGGATGCTGTCTCTGGGTGGGGTGGGGGCCGGTTGTAGATGGGGGGCTGTGGCACAGCCCACCTCCCTTGAGTGGCAGCAGATGTGCCTGGGCGTAGAGGAGGCCTCAGGCTCAGGGATCAGAGTGTGCTGGGGAGGCGGCATGACAAGTGCACCAGGCAGCAGGCACTAGCAGCGTGACCTCAGCCAGTTAGTTGCTGAGCTCTCTGAGCCTCAGTCTCCTCATCTGGAAAGTGGGTTGGATAAGCATCCAGCTCCTAGGGCTGTGCTGAAGGTTAGATGACATCGTACCAGTGAAAGGGTCATTTAAGGGCTCAGACAAGATAATTCCTCTTCCCTCACCCGCCCTCTAAATAGAGTAGTTTCAAGGAGCTGCCCAGGTGTTTTTCTGTACCACAGTGAAGCCAGTGGAAATCAACTGTCTCCTTATTTCTCTCCTTGCCTTTTCCTATTGCTCATGGCCAGGGGGACCCATATCTGAGGCTGGGTTCCCAGCCCAGGCCCGCAGGACTGGGCTATGTACTTTTTTTGGTTCCAGCATCTTCCTCTCCCAGGAAGGGCATTGGTCCAAGGTCTGTGAGTGGCTCCTCTCACCTCAGTTTGTGGAGATGCCTTGCTGCCGTGTTTGCTTTTCCCTGGCTTCCTGGGTCTCACTGAGAGTGTGCAGCGGGCTTTTCTTCCTGGGTGGGATTTAGTGATGATAAAGCAGACAGTTGTTGACTGCTGCTGTTAGTGGGGACTCTTTGGGTTTCAAGTGATAGGAACCCAACTTGAATGAGCTTAAGCAAAAATGGGATGCCTCGGGGGCTTCCCTGGTGGCGCAGTGGTTGAGAGTCCGCCTGCCGATGCAGGGGACACGGGTTCGTGCCCTGGTCTGGGAAGATCCCACATGCCGCGGAGCGGCTGGGCCCGTGAGCCATGGCCACTGAGCCTGCGCGTCCGGAGCCTGTGCTCCGCAACGGGAGAGGCCACAGCCACAACAGTGAGAGGGCCGCGTACCCCCCCCCCAAAAAAAAGGGATACCTCGGAAGGTTCTAGGGGAGGTACAGAGACTCAAAGGAGGCACTGCAGAATCCAGCCCCAGAAAGAGAACACCCAGAAAGGTGACCTCCAGCATCCCTGGACCAGCATCCCCTACCTAGTCCATGGATACAGGCAGCTCCCAGCTGACCCCACACAGCCCTGTACCTGACCCAAGAGGATCAGGCCTTCCCCAGGAGTTTTCAGATTGGAACTTGGCCCAGCTTGGAGCACATGCACACCCTTTGTACCTAAGAATGTGGCCGAGGAGGAAGGATACTCTGATGAACCTATCTTGAGTCCCATGCCTACCTTTTAGGCTGGTGAGTGAAGGATGGGGTGGAATCTGTTATTGGAACAAAGGGAGAAGGATGCTAGTAATATTAATAATTAAGCAGAAGGTGACTATTTTTAATTTTAAAAGAGGAATTTTATTTATTTATTGGCTGCATTGGGTCTTTCTTGCTGCACACGGGCTTTCTCTAGTTGCGGTGAGCAGAGGCTACTCTTCGTTGCAGTGCACGGGCTTCTCATTGCGGTGGCTTCTCTTGTTGCGGAGCATGGGCTCTAGGCATGCAGGCTTCAGTAGTTGTGGCACGCGGGCTCTAGAGCGCAGGCTCAGTAGTTGTGGTGCACAGGCTTAGTTGCTCCGTGGCATGTGGGATCTTCCCGGACCAGGGCTCGAACCCATGTCCCCTGCATTGGCAGGTGGATTCTTAATCACTGTGCCACCAGGGAAGTCCTCTGGAGATGAATTTTTATTGAGTGCTTACTTTGAAGTAAAAATTATTCTAAGCTCTTTACTTACAGGCCTCATTTAATCTTTACAATCAATCCTGTTTTATACACGAGGAAGCTGTGGCACAGACAGTTTAAGCAATTTGCCTAAGGTCACATAGCTAGCTAGTAGGAGAGCAGGGATTGAACCCAAGCAGATTACTCCCAGTGTGCTCCTAACCGCCCACTCTGATGCAGACGATACAGCAGATGCCATCTCCGAGCACTTACTCTAAACTAAACACCGGGCTGTCCTTTACAGCATTATCTCATTTCATCTTCAGAACAGCCTTGTGGACTAACATTATCCCCATTTTTAGATAAGAAACAGGCTCACAGAGATTATGTGACTTGCCTGGGGCCACCTGACTAATTTAAAGTGACAGAGCCGAGACAGGAACCCAGGTTCGCCTGATTCTGGGGCCTGTGCTGGTGAACACTTCGCTGGGTAGCCTTTGTATTCAGACATTCCTCTTGCTCTCTCAGGTGCTCCCCTGGCAATTGGGATGAAAAGCGGTCCTGGCTCAGCATCTGAGCCTTCATCCTCTGTGCCGAGGGCTGGGCGTGGAGAGCTCTGCTTGGCGCACACTGCTGAGGGGCTGGCTTTGTGGTTCTGAGCTGGATTTGGTGTGTCTCACACTAACTCATGCCTAACGCTTCTTGAACAAGCCCTCAGTGCATCTAAGCTCTGGATTTCTTCATTCCACCATTGAACAAGTACTGATGGAGTGCCTAGTGGGTGCCAGGCCCTGTTCCAAGGGCTTGGGGTTCCTCAGTGAGTCTCTGACTCTATGGAAGTAGGAAGGCCCCCAGAGTTCCTCTCACCTCCCTCGGGATCCATGAGGTCACTCAAGCTCACAGGAAACCTTTCCTGCACCACCTAAGTCAGGCCTACAGGGACCTGGAGACCTCATACGTCTTTGCTTGGGATTGGCATGATGGCAAATCTGAGAGCAAAGGTTGTTTCCTCATTCCGATTGACGACAAAGGGCAGCGCGTCAGGGAGCAAGCGTGGGCATGGACCCCCCGGCCAGCTCCACTGTGAGTCCCAGGCTGCTGTGGTCAGTATGGATTGAGGCTGGACCATGCCTCAGTTCTGCCCTCTGTGACGTGGCTGTACTACCTGCCTCACTGGGTTGCTGGGAGGATTATCTGGGATAGCACATGCTAACCACCTGTCGTAATGCCTGCATGCGGGTTAATCCCTCTCCCTCTTTTTAACAATAGGCTAGCTTCATGGGTGTCTCTAAAAGTCAGGGCCTGTGGATGGGGGCAGTTAGAAGGGGTCCTTGGTGAGGATATCACCAATTAGTTCAAGCTCCTCATTTTGCAGTTGAGGAAACTGAGGCCCCTCGAGGGGAAGGAAGGTGCTTGGCCTTAGGACCTTCTGGTTTAGTGGAGTTAAAGGGAGCTTGAAGCATGTTTGGCTGTAGGTCAGATGGAGGGTACAGTTGGCCCTTGGAGTGGCTGGATCGCAACGTGTGCCCAGGCTTATGTGGGAATCTGACTGGTGGTTAGCCCTTGTAGACTGGCCCCGAAGTGCCCACCTCCATCCAACTATGCAACAGCCCAGGCAGAATCTCAGAGAGCCCCTGTTCCCTGCTGTTGGTCTCAGTAACACCCCAGGGTTGGTAGGGGCTTCCGTTCCTGACATCTCGGGAGTAGGGGCGGCCCCTGGTTCTCATACCTGGCTAGACCGATAGCGGAATTCTGCACCAGAATGTCCAGCTCCCCGACCCACTGCACCCAGAAGCTTCCCTTGAAAAGCAGGGAGGCAGATGGGTGGAGACCTCCTGACTCTCTGACTTCTGGCTCAAGGCAGCAGCACAGAGCCTCTAGCTCAGGCTGGTAGAATGTGGCCAAGGCAGGCCAGCCTGTTGGTCAGCTGCCACGGGCTGGAGAGGTGTGGCTTGATAATGATGATGGGGATGGAGATGACTGCAGCTTCCACCCAGGTGGCTGCCGTGGGGCGTGCGGGCCCATCGCAGCGGTGCTGGGACACCTCTCACCTCAGCCTGGGGGGAGAGACCGTGAGCACTGGGTCAGCCCGGCCCGGGCTTGAGTCCTGCCCCTCCCTGGGGCCTTGACAAGTGCCTTCTGCCCTCTAAGCCCCTATTCCTGTCTGTGAGGAGCCACTGAGACAAAGCATGTCTGGTCGCTAACAGTGCTCATTCCATGCATGGCCAGTGCTCAGTAAATAGTTGCTTTTCTCCCATTAATAGTCTGAGGATTCTGAACAGTGAGTCCCAACTCCTAGGCTCTAAATGCAGCCTTCTGTGTACTAGAGAGAATACGTACGTGTTTCTGTGGGCAAGTAGCCCTGCCACCTTGCCGAGCAAAGTGAGCGTAAGTCCACGGAGTATGGCGATTGCCTCTTGGCGATCTCAAATCTTACATGTCTTTTTCTTTTTTTTTCTTACATGTCTTAAGTTTTGTCCTTTTGAGGCCACCTTTTAGAAAATTGGGATTGTGAAAGTAAATCCTTAAAATTTTTGTAACTCCAGGCTCCATTTTCCAAACAGGTGTAGAAGCATTTTCTGCAAAACAAGTGGGATGTAACCAGATCACTAGGGTGGTCATTGGAAACCAAAATCAGAATTTGTTTAGGAAACTCAGCCATAATCAGATAGCCCACGCTCATGACTTCCTAATTTATTCAGCCTTTTGGACCTTTCCACCTTGGAAATATGACAAATTTTACATTGGTGACTTGTTACCAAGTTTTTACACCAGCTTGATTTTACTTTCCTCATGTCCTAAGCTTAGAAATTCTGGCATTTTTTACTTTTACTGGAGCAATGAATGAAGCGTTCTTTTCCACATCCATCTCACTTTCTCTGCAAGCCTTTGTGTAGAGGTGTGATAAGCCTTAGGGTACCCAGCCAGTGGCAGACAAAGGAATGTGTTTACGCGTCTCATAATTCCTTTCTTCACATGAAAAACTTGGAGCATGAAGAGACATTCTCTGTACATTTCCTCTTGTTGGGTAAAGTGTTACTACGGGACAAAGTGCACAGCATGTGGAACCTCTTGGTGGGGAGAAGAGAGGAGGCTGTAATGTAAGATAATCTACTTGACATTCCTTGTTGGGCTCTTGTTTTTAAAGGAATATGGCAACCTGTGCATGGCTTGTCCTGGGAGGAGCTGACTTCAGTCATTGTGATGCCTAAGAATCAAGTAAGTAAGTCACAGTGGTGGATCTCTTTTCTGCCATTGAGTCGCTCCTGGGGGGCTGGCTTCAGGCTTTGGAAAGGATAGGGGTGCTTGCACTCTTCCTTCAAGCCCGAGTGAATGTGACCCCTATGAAGAAACAGTGGCTGGCGAAAGCCCTCTGTCTTTGCCTACCACCTCCAAGGCCGCACAGCCCTCCCACGCTGTCAGAGAAGGGAGTGTGGCAGGGATTGAGACTGAGATGTGTTTGGGGACATGAAAGACCTGTGTGACTCAGTGGGCTTTGAGTGGATGGAATCTCTGTCCCTCTTCCTCTCAGCTGTCCTGACTCCACTCCCAGCTCTGATGCTGTTTCCGTCTCCTGCTGACCCAGGTCTGTGCCAAGACAGGAATCTGGCCGGGTAGCTTCTTCAGGGAGTGACTTCCAAGCATGGTAGACCGTTTGTCCAAGAGTTGCAAATATGATCGCAGCATCTTCCTCTGCTTGGGTTCCATTGTAAGCAGAGCAAACCTGTTCGTATCTTTCCATAAATTCAGCAGGTGCATGGAGGCGTAGGGTCTGGAAGACTCCGTGTAGGTGAAAAATCAATGACTTGTATGGCATCATCACCCTTATGAACTATGTAAGAGCCTTCCCACTGCTCTCCTGGCCCTACTCTGTCCCCTTGCTCTGTCCTCTTCATTGCTGCCAGAGACCTTCCTCAAAGACATGTCTGCCTGTCACTCTCCCACTGGCCTTCAAGGGCCCCTCCAGTGACTTTCCAGACCATTTGTCCAAGAGTTGAAAATTTCCTCTCCTTTCCACCCCAGCTCCAGTCCCACAACTCCCGGAACAGATCTCCACATCCAGGACACGTGTTCCCTCTGGGAAGCTTCCCTCACTCTCCCAGCAAAGTTGGGGCCTCCTCCTCTCCACTCCCCTAGCGCTTTGTTCAGATCTCAGGTGTGTCACTGGCTGAGTCGAGTTTTGTCCACTCGTCCGTCTACCCCACCAGCTGTGGAAGCCTAGAAGGCAAGGATCTGTCTTCCAGCCTTCCTGTCTGAGCTGGGCAGCGCCAGGGCTGGGCACATGGCAGGGGAGCAACAGTGTTTGTTGGCTCAAGGAGTTCAAGCCCTGAAGTTTCTTCAGGGCTTTATGGCTCACGAAGTCCTGTCTTCTGTCTCGTGCGGGCCTCGTACCTGGGGAGGGGTAGTCAAGTCATCCCCATTTATTTTACAGACATGGAGGCTGAGGTCTGAGCTCTCAGACTATAGGCTGTTAAGGTCCAAGACCCACATCTCCTGTGAACCAGGCTAGTTCTAGTTCTGGTTTCTATAACCAAATTTTATAATTAGAGAGAACCCAAGAGGTTATTTAGAGCAAACCCCTCATTACCTGATAGGGAAACTGAGGCCTGGCCTGAGGATATTTTCTCAAGGTTGCATGACCCACTGCTGTCCAGTGGAGATTCGGAAGGTCCTAGATTTCCAGTCTAACTTTCTTTCCACACCCCTTCTCTCCTCCTCTGCCTCCCTTCTGTATACAGCCGTCAGAATACATTTGGGGACCATCTGTCTGCATTTACAGGAGGGTGAAGAACTTACAGAATGCCCTGAGTCAGAGGGAAGGTAGACATGAATAAAACTGACCCTGCCTCAGGAGCTTCCCTGGAGGTGTGAGACCAGGGGGTGGGTGGTGGCTGGGGGCTGCAGAGCCCAGTGGAGGGGGGAAGGAGGGGAGGGTGAGGCTAGGGCAGGGTACAGGCCCCAGAGGAAGGGCAGCCGGCAGGCGTGGCTGGGGATTCAGAGGCTGGCCTCGTGGGCACTGAGGATCCCCGGTGGAGGGAGGCTGGAGAGGGTGAGGAGTCTGTGTTGAGATGCTGAGCAGCAGCATGAGAAGGGGTTGGCAGGATCTAGGGGAAAGCTGCTTTCATAGTTCTGGTTCTTAGTGTCTGGGCAAAGAAGTCCTGATCAGCCAGCCTGCTGGGGCCTGAGAATCCCTCCCTTTTCCCGGAGAAACACAGAGAGTGGAGTGCGTGCATAGAGGAGGGTTGAACGATAGACAATTCCATCATTGTCTGAAATGTGTATGGGGAGGGAAGTGTGTGCATTTCTGGCCGGCTCACCTCTATTGTGCTCAAATGAATTTTGTTTTGTTTCTGATTGACCGCACTTCCAGATGGTCTTTTCCCCCATCTCAATCTTAGGGCTCTTCTGAAACATTCATTCCATCCAGACATGATACAGGACCAGGTTGGTCATGCTTTTTCCAGTTTCACCCTGCCTCTTCTTGAAACTTCCTAGACACACAGACTGGGATCCTGGTACTGACTGCAGGCTCTGTCTCCACTGGCAGGTTGAAACATACACTTTGCCCAAATTACAGAGAATGTGAATTTTGCCAAATAGGCACCTTGACCTTGAGTTGTTTTCCAAAACATGACCAGGTTATAAACTTCTGCAGGGAAAGTGTGCAGTATCACATCATTATTGTTTACGCCTTTGGCTTACATTACACTCTACATTTCATCAAGATCAGTTCATCTTCACAATAAGTAAATCTTCATTTACTCCCATTTCACAGATGAGGAATTTGACTTAGGCTGTGACCTGCCCAGCGTTAATGTAGCTGTCTATGGGCTGAGCTGGGCCACAGCCCAGGCCTCCTGTTTATAAATTCTCTCATCTTTATACCCTACTAAGCTTCACCCATATGCAAATTTCTGAAGGGCCCAGGACATAAGAGGAACTCAATAAATATTTGTTGAATGAGTGAGCTTTGGCTATTTTTTTCCTTTTTTTGGGAGAGTGGGGTGGGGTCACTCTTACCCATGAATGGATCCTCTTTGGCAGCAAAGGGAACACTACCCTGTGAAGTATTTGAATTTCTTTCCACGATAAGGAACTAGTGAGTTCTCTTCTCACCCAGCCTCACCTCCGGGAACTGGGTCACGCACACTGAATAATTAATTCCTTGAGTCTTTAACTCCTGATGCTGAGATGATCTGACCAACATTGGTCTTGAAAGGTCCCTGGCAGAGACAGATCCTATTGTTTGTCATCATACACCTTCAGATGACCCATCTAATTGCTCACAGGGAATACTCTTGGCCTAATCAGGTCAGACTTCCAGCAGCTTAATTCAGTTCCCTCCTGCCACTCATCCCCATCAATCTCCCCTAGACCAAAGGAGAGAGATCTTTGTGGGTTATCTTAGGTATTTAGGGTTCTGTAGGGACAGGAAGGCCCACCTCTCCTTTCTCACTCTCCCTCTGAACTCCTTAAGATTTTGTGGCAAGGGCTGGAGAAAGAGCAGCAGACCGTGTCAGGTTGGGAAGGAATGCATGGGGCTGGGGAGGCAGTTATCAAAATACCTGCTGGGCCTGCTCTTTCCCTGAGTGACACTTGGGTCATGTTGCTTAGAGTCTGCAGGGGATCCAGCTGGCCTCGTTAGAGCAACCTAATTAGATCTCGAGGTCAGCAGAGTAGAGTGGAAAAAAGAGTAGGCTGAGGTCAAAAGACCCACGATCTGGTGCTGGTTGTTCACAGCTCATCGGCATGGCATGGCCATGGGCCAGTTGCAGAATTTCACCTGCCCTCAGATTTCTTATTAAGGAAGTAAGGGAGGCACAGAGGGTTGTGGCATCTTAAAGGGGCCTCCCAGACTCCCAGTGCCCACTCTGCCTGTCCTCGTGATAAGCACCGTCTTCTCCTCCAGGTCGCCACCTCCTCTGCTTGCTTCTGTAGGCATTTTCTCCTGGACTTTGTAACGTTGCCTCTCCCCTGCCCCACCCCGAGATATGCCAGAGTGCAGATAAAAACTGCCTGTTGCTGCCGTAGTCTCCTGCCAAGCAGCCTGGAAAAAAAATGTCTAATGATTTGAAAGTGCATTGGGGACCTAGGAGGTACAGGTTGGTATAGGAGGGGAGTGGGATTAACCTGTGAGTGGAAAGAAACCAGCCCAGGTTCTTAGGGGTTGTTGGGATATCCAAGATCTTCATGTCCTGAGGTGCCTGGACTCTGTCCAGTTGTTTGACCAAAGGATACTAGATATGTTCTTAAACACATGGCCCCAAGTTTATCATCTTCTTCCCTGGCCAGGCTCTGTGGTCAGGGGTGACCAGACACTCTGGAGCAATAATGGTTGTGGTGTTGGTGGAAAGCTGCTCAGGGGGAGCTAAGAGATGTCTCAGACAAACAACTAACACACAAAGGGCAAGGGTTGAGGAGGGTGGATCTGTCTCTAAGACTGATGATCTTTAGGCGTGAAAGCTGGAAAGAGCCTACAGATCATCTGATTTATTTCTCCAGTTTTATGGGTAAAGAAACCAAAGCCCAGAGACGTGACTTAACCAGACCCATAAAGCAAGCTAGAGGTGGAACCCGAGATGCAAGCCAGGTCTCCTGATTCCCAGCCTTGGAATCACAAACCTGATACAAAGTGGCTATTTCCCCAGTGCCATATTGCCTCCTCTCCGTGGGTTCAGCCACTGCCCTTTCCACTCCTCTCCTTGACCCTGGGCTTGATTGTCCAAGGTGTTATCAGGGCCCACAATAACCTCCTTGTTTATTGAGGCCTAATAAAACCTGGGTGTGACATCACCACGAGGTTGAGCCTTCTCTCACATGTGGGCTGTTTGACTTGTACTCAGGGATTTAACACTGTTGGGTCAGCAGTATTCTGTTTTATGGTGTGGCTTGGGGTGAAAGATTAGTGCAAGACAGGAGATGAAGGATCTGATGGCCCAGCCTCAGCAATAGTGGACTCTCGTGGGTTTATCATTCAGACAGAAATCAGCTTTGTTGCTAATCCTGCCTCTTTCTGAGACTCTGGAGCTGAGGGCATGAATCAAGTGCAGCCTACACCATCCCTTGCTCTGAGAGGGGGCGCTTTGGGTTAGAGGCTGTCCGCCCCATCACTGTGTTGCTGGCACGTAAACCAGAACAGAAGCCATTGATTTTTTTCTCGAGGGCTCCATTTGGCTCAGCACTTCCTGCTGAGCTCAAGGAAATGTATCGTGAGCTCT